TTGTGTCCTATGTCCATCTCTTATTTACTGTGAGACTTTTGGCAAGTTATTTAGCTTCTGAGCTTTGGTTTCTTTTGAAAACTGATGATAGAAGTTACCTCAGAGTTGGTCTAAATATTAGATGACATTAGTAAAATCACATTAAACATCTCTTATAGTTCCTAGCAGATAATAAGGATTTCATAAAGAGTAGCTATAACATTAGTGGTGACCAAAACAATGGTGCCTTCAGCAGTAAGTGATACTATGGTAGCTAAGAAGGAGGACGAAAAACAAATTGTGTTAAATTGAGGAGTGAAATGTTGGGGAAGTTTTTTCTTTCTTTTTCTCTCTCTTTCTTTCTTTCTTTCCTCCCCAAGGCTTTGCCTCTATGAGAGGGAAGAGGTTATGGAGTCATTTTGATACTAAAAAGCAATCCACCTATTGAGAAAATTTACTTAGGGAAGTAGGGCAGAGGCTGAATTTAAAGTAGCTTATTATGAGTAGGATACGTAGAAGATTATACAGTGAATAAAGACCTTCAAAAAATTTTAAAAGTAAAAAGAAGAGATGCAAGATGCATAGTCTTTATTATTTTGATTATTTAAAGGAATCATATAAATTTAGACAATTGAGACCAGAATTTATATGAATTTAAAAATAGAAACTCTCCTGAAGATATCGCATGCCTCTTTTACCTACATTTAATAATCACTTATAAAGAGCCAAATACACCCTAAATTTAAGAATCTCCACATTTGTATATGTGAATCATTCAAAGACTTTTGCTTGATGCTTTTTCTTTTTCTTTTGCTTGATGCTTTGTCTTATGAGGCTTAGAGCTGGACATAATGTTGAGAAAAACTTTGACCAATACTAGGGAAAATATGAGGATTGTCTTTGTAGTTTTGCCAACACTCTTTAAAGAAATTTGAAACCCAGAGTGGATAAAAGACTTTAGTTTGCATAAGGAACTGGTGGTATCCGCTAGGATGAAAATCCAAGTCTTCTAACTATAGTGTACTATTCTTCCCACTACAGCTTAATACCAAAATGAAGACAAAACCCTCTTCAAGTAAACAGTCGATATTTAAAAATCCAGTATATCAAGAGAATTATTTGTATTATAGAACATTTGTCTCAAGAATTTTAGAGCAAGCTAGAGTTAATGGATTTAAGTTTTTGCATGAATTGTGAATTTACACTAGTAAGCTCACAAATATGTTTAGGAAAACAGTTAATTGTACATTAATATCTCATTTTTAATTTTTGCTTTAGAAATTCTAGATTGCTTAGCTTTTGATTTATTGTGATCTCTGGCCTTTAGTTGAATAACTATTTCTAGTAGGTTTTATTTATTAAGTACTTGGTAAGTACCTGTGCTTTGGTTAAACCCTTTTTGTTGCTTGTCTTATTTAATCTTTATAACAACTTTAAGAAGTAAGTATTCCTATTATAAGGAATCTGAACTGAGACTTGTTATCAATTCAGAAAAGGCTGCATGCACATCTAATAAACAGAGTGGAGCCGAAATTTAAATCAATAGAGCTTCATCCCAGAGTCTGCTTTTTTTCTTTGTAGTTTCAAGTTTTTATTTAAATACCCGTTAACATGTAGTGTAATATTAGTTTCATGTGTAGAGTTTAGTGATTCATCACTTACAACATCCTGTGCTCATCACAAGTGCCCTCCTTAATCCCCATCACCCATCCCCCCATCTCCCTCCATCAACCCTTAGTTTGTTCTCTATAGTTAAGAGTCTGTTTTATGGATTGCCTCTTTTTTTCTCCATGTTCATCTGTTTTGTTTCTTAAATTCCACATGTGAGTGAAATCATATGGTATTTGTCTTTCTCTGACTGACTGACTTCAGGCAGAGTCTATGCTTTTTAACAACTATCTTGTTTTATCATTATTTTAACTGACTGAGCCACCCAGGCGCCATTTTATTATTATTTTAAACTTTGTTTATTGTAATATAGAAGTTTTTTTAAATCTCATTTAGATTCTGTTTCCTTCATTTTGAATTTAAAAATATAGATATGTACTCATACGTGGTGTGATTTTTTTATTGAATTAGTGACTGATCACTGATAAGGATTTTGAAAAATCCTCTAGTTCAAGAATTGAACTTATGGAAAACTTATGATTCTTTACCAGATTGATGTTAAATGCTTGGTAAATCTTTTTTTGTGGGATGGTATTTTACATTTAAATGCAGGAAATGTTAAATATAACCAATATAATACTTTATTGAATACCAGAAACTTTTTAGAGTAATACAAAGCATTCGTGAATGACAAGTAACTAAAAGTAGAGAAATCTTAGATGTTTTATTTTATTTATTTATTGGTTTTTAAAATCTTAGATATTTTAAATTGAGACTACCAGAATATTTCATAACACCTTACCAAATATAGATTTGATGTTGTTGCTAGCTATTTTCATCTATTGATATTGTAATTTTGTTACCTGCTTTTCCTTTGAAAATGATGAAACTTTCCTTCCTTTCCTCACCCTTATATAATTTTCTCCTTTTTTTCTGCCTAAATTTATTTATTTATATATTTTAAAAGATTTTATTTATTTATTCATGAGAGAGACAGAGACATATGCAGAGGGATGCTCCATGCAGGGAGCCCAATGTGGGACTTGATCCTGGGACTCTAGGATCACTTCCTGAGCTGAAGGCAGATGTGCTCAACCACTGAGCCACCTGGGCGTCCCATTTTCTGTCTAAATACAGATTTAGAAATTTTTAAGCCAAATCTCTTTTATGGAATGCTAGATGTGGTGTCCTTTGTTAACCTAGCTAGTTATAGACCTCAGCTTTTAGTGGTTCATGAGTGATGTATGTTAAAATGGTACTTGAGTTAATTGTTGCAAAGTAGATGCACATTCAGAGGAAGCAGTTTCAAGTCTGTTTTTAAGAAGTGAAAGAGTAATAACTACTTTTAATACAGTCTGATACATGTTAAACTTTTATTTATCTGGAAGAAAAATGTCATTTTTTAAAATTATGTTTTACCTGAAAATTGGCTAAAAAATGACTTATAGTATTTGATATCTTGTTTTGTAAAAATTAATTTAAATGACCAATCTTAATATAATTACATTGATCTTAATACCTTTTGCAGCATTTTTAAAATTTAAATTCAATTAACCAGCATATAGTACATCATTAGTTTCAGATACAGTGTTCAATAATTCATCATTTGCATATAATACCCAGTGCTCATCACATCACGTGCTCCACACCCAATGTGGGGCTTCAACTCCCAATTCTGAGATTGAGTTGCATGCTTTACCAACTGAGCCAGCCAGACACCCCTCAATACCTTTTGCAGCATTTCATGGCTTTCCCTGTGTGTAACCAACCACCTTTTGAGATGTTCCTTGTGAGTAAAAGATAAGTAACCAGCTAATTTGCAGGAGATAGTAGGTTACAATTAGTCCAGGTAAAATCTGAAAATTTCTAAATAAACTGCATGGAAAATAGCAAGATACAAAGACAGTTCCAGTTATATAATGATGATCTGTTTTTAATTTATTATTTCAGTGGCCAGGTTAGAGACAATTAAAACCCAGAGGAAAATTACTTGGTTTCAGTAATTACAGTTCACTAACGGGTCATTTGAAAATACTTTGTGTGAAAACAGTGTCATCTGAAATATTATGCATTTGATAAATGTGGGCTATCAATACAGATATCATTTAATCCTTATAACAATTCTGTGAATTAATATTATTATCCTAAATTTGCAGATAAAGAAAAGAGGTTTAGTGAAGTTAACCCATCTGAGGTCAAATAATGCTATAAGTTACAGCCAGGATTCTAAAGAAGTTTCTGCTAGATTGTAATGAACTGAAACCTGATGCTAGAGGTGTACTTTTAGTTTCAGTGAACTCTTCATGAAAATCTTTTAGCTGTCAAATGGAGTCCAAATTTAAAATATTTTGCTTCTGGAAGTATGCATTTTTACCAGTCATGCCAATTAAAATTTAATTTCTTGAGTTTCCGCCTACTGTTTGGAGGATTTGTGATAATTTAAGGTGATACGTAGAATTAAAAAGCTATAAGCACCTCTTTACTTGAGATCTTACCATCAACATTCAAGTAAGATATTGGTGGGAAGGGGAAATGATAACATTACATTTGTGTTATGGAGTTAGGAGATCATGAAACTTTCTGTAAAGGGCAAGATAGTAAATATAGTAAATGGCTCTGACAGCCATGTGATCTCTTGCAAATGCTCAGCTTTTCTAAAGGAGCTATAGACAATATGTAAACAAAAGAGCATTGTGTTTTAAATAAAACTACAAAAAGGGGCAGGAGCCTGATTTGGCACATTTACCAGCCCCTGTTAGAGAAAATCTTGTAATTTCTGCAACTAAAAGATAAGATTTATTTATAATGATAACTGTTTATACAGAGAGGAAGTTTTCCTTTATTGAATGCATTGGGGGAAAAAAATTACCAAAGAGACAGTAATAGTATAAAGGAGATTAGGAGTAGTTCCTAATAGTAAAGAGTACTTTTTCAGCATTTCTATGACTACTTAGATTAAGTACTTCATAAATCATTTGATAATTCCAGAATATACTTATTCACTCATTATCTTGAAAAAACAAGTCTGCCATTTTCATCAGTTTTCACTAATTCTGATAAACTTACTTTCCTTTATCATAAATTAGGAAGAATTAATGTAAAAAGACAGGACACATAATTGGGTGATGATTTTATTTTATTTGTATTTATTTTGAAAAGTGATATCTGTAGATAGACTTAAATCAAGGATTTTGTGTAAATATATGCAGTTGGAAATGTAGGGTCAGAAATGGAGTAAGTACCCTGTTATAGTCAGTTCTCAGTGTTACATTTTATAAATTTCTTATTACAAGAAGTTTTGACCCTACAGATGCTTTCTGGTGCCACAAAACTTTATTAAATGTGAGTCATTTTGTGGTATTGGCTAATATGGATATTAAATAAAAAATGCTCTTTTTAATTGTTATTCTCAGAGATTCGTCAGCGAACTACAGTTCAGAGAAACCTTTCTCCAACACCAGCAAGCTCTAGCCAGGGCCCTCCTCCGCAAGTTCCAGTATCTCCTGGACCACCAAAGGACAGTTCAGCCCCTGGTGGACCCCCTGAAAGAACTGTTACTCCAGCCCTATCATCAAATGTGTTACCAAGACGTCTTGGATCCCCTGCTACTTCAGTGCCTGGAATGGGTAAACAGAGCACTTAATGTTATTTACAGTTTATATTGTTTTCTCTGGTTACCAATAAAACGGGCCATTTTCAGGCAGTATGGAAATGGCATTTCATTTGGAAATAGCAGAGCAGTTATCTGATTAAGCAGGAGTTCCATATTCAATTAGCCATAACTCTTTACAGCTGGCACCTTGTGATACTGAAACCTATTTCTTGAGCTCATTTAACTGTTATGGCTTCTTTGTTTAAAGGCAATAAAACTTTGTAGTAGTCCATAGTCAACAGTATAGCATATCTTTTTATATTCAGCTTTAGAATAGCTCCAGATTTATATAAAATGGGATAGAAGAGAACACTTTTGGAATATATTCATGCTTTTTGCTAAACTCTTCACATATATTTTTATTTATTTTATTTTTATTTTTTTTCCACGTATATTTTTAAACATGACAACATATTCCAGGAAGACTATTTCTGCATTGTGGTGTATAATACTATTATTGTTAATATGAGCTGGTAGATTTTTTCTTTTATTAAACCATTGAACCTTAGTATTTTCTGACAGGTACTTTAGCATCAAGTTCTATTAAATTAACATATTGCCTTTTCTATTTCATTTCTTTGGATTCTCTTTTTCAGTGTGGTAGATCTCTAGGGGAAGACCCCGTTTGTGGAGTATAATAGATTATATTACCCTGCAGCTTTCTTTTGGACTGTGATGGAACACCCACAGTGAAGTCTACTGCTTCAGCAGATTACATTATTTTGTGTAAATTTCCATGTCAGATTCTTGAATATGATAATAAATTATTTATCTTATCTTAGGATATTTAATTCTAATTTAAATCACTTTGGTAATTCATGACTAATTACTAACATATAATTTATAATGATTTTGAGGCTAGTCAGTGGTTGATACCAGGTATTCAGGGCACTTATACAATAAAGGCAATCTAAATGTTATTATGACACTAGTTTTTTTCCCTCCTTTTCTTTCAAAAAAAAAGGGGGGGGGGGACATTAGATTTTAGGAAACTAGAAAACTGATAATTTATAAACAAATGAAAGCTGGCTACAAATGAAATGTATATAAATCATAACTTTAAAGGTAGTTATTGAAAAAATACTTCTAAAATTGACATAAAACGATATCATTTAAGGAAGCCATATAATTTGTGAAGTTGAGAAAAATTAAATTGAGAATTATTTGTCTGTTTTATTTATTTTTATTTTTATTTTTTAAATTTTTTTATTTATTTACGATAGTCATACAGAGAGAGAGAGAGAGGCAGAGACACAGGCAGAGGGAGAAGCAGGCTCCATGCACCGGGAGCCTGACGTGGGATTCGATCCCGGGTCTCCAGGATCGCGCCCTGGGCCAAAGGCAGGAGCCAAACCGCTGCACCACCCAGGGATCCCTTGTCTGTTTTATTTGATTGATTTGAGATACTTGTGATTTATAAGGTTCTTAGTTGTTTAATGAAAGAACTTTTTTGTGAGAATACATGAATTATATACATTTGTGTATCTAAATTTTAAGAAAATAAAAGTTTAGCAACTTGTATAAAGTAATAAAAATTGTATTGCACATATAAGAATAGGGTTATAGAGGGAACAATAGCCTAAATTTCATGATTATGTAAATAAAACATATTTTGCTTAAGTTTTTAATTCACTTTCCATGTAGAAGACTATTTAAGTTGTACATTGCCAAAAATATGAATGAGTTAAATGATTTCTTATAGAGAAGATTAATAATTCATTTTTCATTATGCCATATTTGTGGAAGAGAATCAATTTAATGTGTATTACCACAGGGCTCCCATATGTTTGAAAATTAATAACCAGCAGGTACTTGATAATTTGCCAAGCTGTGTAAAAATGACCAGTATTCCTACAATGATTGCTCTTGATGTTTGTATTAATTGCTGTTATCTATAACAGCATAAATATGAAGATGTTTTATTTTAAAAGTTATTAGTATGTACAGCATTTAAGACATTTTTATGAAATCTGTTGTTTTATGTATCCAGATTCCTTTATGGACATACTCATTTTAAACATATAGAAGTAAAATATTCCAGCAAAAGTTAATTTGACCTAAATTTTTTCAAGATACTATTTGGCATACTTATTCAAGTTGAAAATTTGATACTGAGAGATGACAATTTAATGCCTGAAATCAAATTTATGTTTTGATCATAAATGATCGAATATTGTTAATACAAGTAAGCCAATAACTTATCTGATGAAATCTGACGAATGTTCTTGATTTGTTACACTAAGAACTTATTCTAGAACCTAAATTTCATTTGTTAATTGCTACAGTTTTGACATCATTTGCCCTTTTTCAGATAGTAACAACCTTTAGGTTTGTGACCATTTACAAAGCAAATCTCTTTATTAGCCTTTAAAATATTAATACAGTATTGCTACTCTAAAGCTATTCTTTAATACTTTATAGTTTTTGTCACAATCATTTTGAAAACCTTGTATCCTTATACTGCAAGGCTTATTTCAGCAAGGCCTCATTTTGTTGCAGTCTTCTATGAGGTCTCCATGTGAACCTTCATTGCTGTCTATCTTATGCTTATGTTCATCCTGCCTTGCTTTACAAAGGCAAACATCACGTATTTTATTCTCTCACTTTCTTTTCAATGCTGCCTTCTGTGTTGTCTCTTCATTCAGAGTATATCCTACAAACAGTTCTCACAATTCATAACTTTTTATTTTTATTAATGTTTTTATATAATGTAAGTCATTAATTAAAACTAGATTATTCTTCCACTCTCCATTTGTTTCTTCTGATACTGCTGTGTTTATATAATAAACACAGTTTTTTTTATATAATATTATATAAAACAGTGTTTTATATAATAAAACAGTATATCTGTTTAGATCTTCAGTTTTTCTCAGCAACATTTTGTAGTATGCAGTATACAGGTTTTGCACTTTTTTTTTGGATAAATGTATATGTAATTATTTCCAATTTTTGAGCCTAAACGGCTCAGAATGGCTTTGTTTTACTACCTACAGTTGTTCATTGCTAATATACATAGAAATGCAGTTGCTTTTTGTATATTGGCCTTCTATGATCTTGCTAGACCTTATTAGTTTTATTAGTTTTTTTTTTAAGATTTTATTTATTTATTCAGGAGAGACACAGAGGGAGAGGCAGAGGGAGAAGCAGGGTCCCCTCAGGGACCCCAATGTGGGACTTGATCCTATGACCCCAGGATCACTACCTGAGCCAAAGGCAGATGTTTACCCACTGAGCCACCCAGGTGCCCTCTAGTTTTATGAGTTTTTTAATAGATTCGATAGTATTTTCCATAGGGTATCAACATTGTGAATGAAGATAATTCTCCTTTTCTAATCTGGGTTCCTTTTATTTCTTATTCTTGCTTATTATACAAGCTAGAACCTTTTGTACAATGTTGAATAGAAGTGGCAAAAGCAGGGGAGCCTGGCTAGCTCAGTTGATGGAGCATGCAACTCTTGATTTTGGGGTTGTAAATTCAAGCCACACATTGGGTGTAGAGATTATTTAAAAATAAAATCCTTGAGATGCCTGGGTGGCTCAGCAGTTGAGTGTCTCAGGGCGTGATCCTGGATCCAGGATCGAGTCCCACGTAGGGCTCCTTGCATGGAGCCTGCTTCCCCCTCAGCCTGTGTCTCTCATGAATAAATAAATAAAATATTTTTTTAAAAAATCCTTAAAAGAAGTGGCAAAAGCAGACATTCTTCCTTATTGCTGATCTTAGGAGGAAAGCAGTTATCTCTTCACCATTCAGCGTGGTATTAGCTGTACAGTTTTTTTGTTGGTGTTTTATTTTATATAGATAGCTTTTATCACTTTGAGGGAGTACCCTTCAATTTCTAGTTAGCTGAAGATTTTTATCGATAATGGATGATGAGTTTTATTAGATGGTTTTTCTGCATCTATTGAGATGCTCATATGAGGTTTTATTTTTTGTTTTAACATCTGTTAATGTAGTGAAATACATTGACAGATTTTTTAAATGTTAGACTACCTTGCTTTCCTGGGATAAATCTGACTTAGTAGTGATGTTTTATTTTTTATATATATAGTTGGGTTTGATTTGCTAAAAGTTTGTTAAAAATGTTTACATCAAAAAATATTGTTTGCATCAATGTTCCTTAGAGATGTTGGTCTATAATATTATTTTTTCTTATAAAATCTTTGTCTGGTTTTGGTATCAAAGATATAGGAAAATATTCTCTCATCTTCAGTTTTATAGAAAATTTTGTATAGAATTTATATTTCTTCCTTAAATATTTGGTAGAATTTACAGGGTGAAGCATCGAGGTCTGGTGTTTTCATTGTGGAAGGTGTTTGGTTTTTTTTTTTTTTTTTTAACTAAAAATTTAGTTGAAGAAAATCTACACTTATCTCTCAGAAACATAGATATAAAAATTCTTAATACAATTTTAGCATATTGAATACTTATTTCTAGTTGAGTGATCTATGATAATTTGGTAGTGTTTCAAAGGATTTGTCTATTTCATGTAACTTTTGAATTTATTGGCATAAAATTATTCATAATATGCTTTTATTATCCTTTTATTATCTACAATTTAGATTTATGCCATTTCTCTCGTTCCTGATATTAGTATTTTGTATCTTCTCTTTTTTTCCTAATTAGTCTGTCTAGAGGTTTATCAGTTTTGATGTTCTCAAAAGAACCAGATTTTCTCTATTAGTTTTGTATTTTCTATTTTATTAATTTATACTCTTTATTTACTTGTTTTTATTTATTTTTATTTTTATTTATTTTTTATTCATGATAGGCACACAGTGAGAGAGAGAGAGAGGCAGAGACACAGGCAGAGGGAGAAGCAGGCTCCATGCACCGGGAGCCCGATGTGGGATTCGATCCCCGGTCTCCAGGATCGCGCCCTGGGCCAAAGGCAGGCGCCAAACCGCTGCGCCACCCAGGGATCCCTATTTACTTGTTTTTAAATTCTATCTTGGGTTTCACTTGCTCTTCCTTTTTAGTTTCTTTTTTTTTTTAATTTTTATTTATTTATGATAGTCACACAGAGAGAGAGCTAGAGAGAGGCAGAGACACAGGCAGAGGGAGAAGCAGGCTCCATGCACCAGGAGCCCGACGTGGGATTCGATCCAGGGTCTCCCGGATCGCACCCTGGGCCAAAGGCAGGTGCCAAACCGCTGCGCCACCCAGGGATCCCGCCCTTTTTAGTTTCTTAAGGTGGAAGCTGAATTCACAAATTTAGATTTGCCCTCTTTTATAGATGTTTTAGTGTTATAAATTTTCCTCTACGCACTGCTTTGGCTGCATATCACAATTTTGATGTTTCTTTTTTCATTTTCATTCAATAAAAAATACTGTCTAACTTACATTTTGATTTTTTTTGAACCTTCCTTTATTTAAATGTGTGTTAGTCTCCAAATTTTTGGAGATTTTCTTGATGTCTTTCTGTTGCTGATTTCTAATTTAATTTTGTTATGGTCAGAAAACATACTTTGTATTGTTTGAATCTTCATAAATGTACTGAGGCTTTTATGTCTTACTATATCATCTGTCTTGGTAAATATTTTATATTCCACTTAAATATATATTCTGTTCCTGTTGGATAGAGGGACTATACATGTCAATTAGGACAAGTTGGTAGCACATAATGTTGTTTGAGTCTTCTATATATATATCATTACTAATTTCTGTGTTTATTCTGTTAATTTTTGAGAGGAAGCTGTTGAAATCTCCAACTATTGTGTGTGCATGTGTATAAATATGTATATACCATTGTATTTATGTATATAAGTATAGTATACATATATATATACACACACACACTATGTATTTGTCTATTTCTTTTTGTAGTTCTGTTAGTTTTTTTGCTTTATGTGTTTTGAAGCTCTGTTATGATGCATATAATATGTCTAGGATTATTATGTTCTCTTGACTTATTGATTCCTTTGTCATTATAAAATTATCCCTGATAATATTCTTTGCTCTGACGTCTACTGTTTGATATTAATACCGTTACTCCAGATTTCTTTTGATTAGTGTTAGCATATTTATGTATATATTGTTTCTATTATTAATCAATCAATTAATTAATTAATTATCTTTAAAGGATTTATTTATTTTAGAGAGACAGAGAGCAGGGAAAGGGGCAGAGGGAGAGGGAGAGAGAGAATCCACACTGAGAGTGGAGCGTGATGGGACTCAATCCGCAACCCCAAGGTCATGATCTGAGCTGAAACCAAGAGTTAGGATGCCTAACTGACTTAGCCACACAGGTGCCCCCCCATCATTTATTTTTAACCTATTTGTGTCTTTTAATTTTTTTTCTTTATAAGCAATATTATCTGGTCTTGTTTTTTTATTCTGACAATCTGTGGCTCATAGTGAGTGAGGATGTTCAGGCTACATAAACAGGATTGGTATGTTTGGGTTTGAGTTTAAATCTTCTATTGTGCTATTTTTTTTCTATTTGTCCCTCTCTTCTATTACTTTTCTCCCTGTTTTCTGTCTTCTTTCAAATTGAGTGTCTTTATCATTTTCTTTTTTCATTGCCTTACTAGCTATATTGCTTTTTCATGTTATTTTAATGGGTCTCTTGGGGTTTACAGTATGTATATTTAACTTAACATAGTTCAGCTTCAAGTGATATAATACCAGTTCACAAATAGTTTGAGAGTCTAACAACAATATACTTAAATTTCTCCTGTTTTGGCCTTTGTGCCATTGTTGCCATACAGTATGCTTCAATATATGTTATAAACCCTACAACAAGTGATCGATTTCCCTTCAAGCTGTCAGTTGTCTTTCAAGAAATTTAAATGGTAATAATTTTGTTTACCCGCATGGTAACCATTTCAGTTATTTCCTTTGTACTACCTCTTTCTGTCGGGTGTCATTTTTCTTCTTTTAAAATTTTTATAGTGCAATTCTGCTAATAATGAATTCTTTCAGTTTTGTATGTCTGAAAAAGTCTTCATTTTGCTTTTATTTAAAAAAATAATAGTTTTTCTTTAAAAATATTGCTTCACTGTCTTTTGGTTTATTTTCTGATGAGAAATCTATCATTCTTCTCTTTCTCTGTATATACTGTATCTTTTTTTTTAAGATTTTATTTATTTATTCATGAGGGAGAGAGAGCGCGCACGCGAGATAGAGAGAGAGAGAGAGAGAGAGAGAGAGAGAGAGAGGCGGGGGTCAGAGATGCAGCCAGAGGGAGAAGCAGGCTCCATGCAGGGAGCCTGATGTGGAACTTGATCCCGGCACTCCAGGATCACTCCCTGAGTCAAAGGCAGACACTCAACTGCTGAGCCACCCAGGCATCCCTAGTGTATCTTTTTCTGACTGGTTTGCCATTTTTTCTTTATCACTGGTTTTAAGCAATTTGATTATCTGTGCCTGGTTCAAAATTATGTTTCTTGTGCTTAGGGTTTGTTGATATTTTTAGGTTTGTGTGTTTATAGATTTCATCAAATTCAGAAAATTTTTGTGCATTATTTCTTCAAGTATTGTTTTCTTTTCTCCCTTCCTTCTTATGGACTCCAGTTATATGTATATTAGGCTGCTTGTAGTTGTTCCACAGCTTGCTGATAATTTGTTTATTTACACAATTTTTAGACTCTTCTTTGTATTTCATTTTGGATGGTTTCTATTGCTATATCTTCAAATTTACAACTCCCTCCCTCTGTAACGTCCAAACTACTATTCATCCCATCTGCAGATTTTTCATACTAAACATTGTAGTTTTCATTTGTAGAAGTTGAATCTGGTCCTTTAATTTTTTTCCATTTCTTGACTAAACACATTGAATTTTCCCTCTAGATTCTTAAGCAAAGGGAATATAGTCATAATAAGTATTTTAATATATTTGTCTGCAAATTCTATAAACTCATTTTTAGGTCATTTTTGGTTCATTTTTCTCATTATGGGTTGTATTTTTCTCTTGTTTCCATGTCTAATAATTTTTTATCTGATATCAGACATTATGAATTTTATCTTACTAAATGCTGGATGTTTTTATGTGGTTATACAAAAGTCCTCTGAATACTTAATCCAATAGCCTGTGACTTAGGAAGTTTTCCACTCTGGCTGGTGAGAGCATGTAATAGTTTGGCTCCATGTGAACATTGTTACCTTTAATATTTGGGGGCAGTTTTTTTTCTCTATACTCAGATGGTTTCATGATATACATGGACAGTCAGTATTGTATTGAACAGTCTTGGAGATCCTTTGTAGATCTTTGGTGTTCTTGCTCTGTGCATTCTCTGCCTGTGCACCCAACTGCCTTGGTCTCCCAGAGTTCCAGCTTTTTCTCCTCAAACTCAAGAATACTGATACATTTCAGCTGAATTTACCCTCCCTCAGCTGCTTGAAATTTTCTCCAGGCAACAAGCTTGGGCAATTATAGGTCTCATCTTACTTGGTTTTGGTCTCTCAAGGATCTTTATCCTACATTGCCTGATACTTAATGTCTTTAAAACTATTTCATCATATATTTTGCATAGTATTTTAGTTGTTTTAGGTGGGAAGGTAAATCTGACTCCTGTTCTTTTTTTTTTTAAAGATTTTATTTATTTATTCATGAGAGACACAGAGAGAGAGGCAGAGACATAGACAGAGGGAGAAACAGGCTCTTTGCAGGGGGCCCAATGCAGGACTCAATCCCGGACCCGGGATCATGTCCTTAGCTAAAGGCAAATGCTCAACTGCTGAGCCATCCCAATGTCCCAGTCTGACTCCTGTTCTTATACAAAGGTCCTCTGAATACTTAATCCAGTCCAAATGGAGGTCTCCTAATTTGTTATTACATAAATTTTAATATGTATTTTATTATTGAATTATTAAACATTAAGTTATTATATATTATATTTTTCCTTTAAAATATTTTATTTATATTTTATTATCTTTGTAATCCTACAAAAATCTATTTAGTTATATCTATTCATACACACATATATATGTTTTTAAATTTTTAATTTATCTTTAAATTATTTTTTAAATAGTTTTAGTTAATATACAGTGCAATATTGGTTTTAGGAGTAGAATTCAGTGATTCATCACTTACATTCAGCACCCAGTACTCTTCACAAGTGCCCTCTTTAATAAGAGTCTGGGCACTTAAAAAATTAGCTTGTGCAGAGACCAATATAGCTTGATTTCTAAATAGATTATATTGATGGTTTTGATATAGAACATAATTTAACATTTTTTTAGTGTAGTATTTTTAATGAAAACTTGAGTGCTCTGAAGAGATGTATAAGAATCACTATTATTTTTATTCTCTTAAAATCTCTTAAAAGTTCTGACAAACATGGGTAGTACTTGGTAACTAAATTAAAATGTTAGTATATTTTATACATATACATTTTTTATGCATTTATTTGTTTACTAGGTCTTCATCCTCCAGGTCCACCTTTAGCAAGACCCATTCTCCCCCGAGAACGAGGTGCTCTGGATAGAATTGTTGAATATTTAGTTGGTGATGGTCCACAGAACAGGTAATATTTATTAAGGTGGTAGGTAAATGAAAATGAGGAAAAAGTTTATTGATCAGGGTGTGTGTGTGTGTGTGTGTGTGTGTGTGTGTGTGTGTGTGTATGTACGGGATGTTCTACAATTTTGTTGCTCCTGTTTCCTGATTTTAGAACATAATAGAATATTTTATAGCCTTGCAGAGTAAATATTCAGTTGTTTTTCAGTAAGGGTTTGGATAAAATCTGGATAAAATACAGAAAAACATATAGAGAAAACAAAATAACATTGTCTAAGATTATTTTTAGGGACATTGCATCATTTCATTGTAACTTTTGAAGAGCAAACAAATAGTGAAAAAACGGTAGGTTGTAAGAAATGGAGTTTTATAGATGTCAGTGCTGGAATTGATTTTAACAACAATGAGGACAATTTTTTTTTTTTAACAATGAGGACAATTTACATATGACACTTTTAGTTCTCAAAATACTTATTCAGTTATTATATCATTTGATTTTTATGATAATCCTAGGAAGATAAACATGATGTGAGCAAAGTAACTGCCATAGTGCAAACTTTAAAAAAAAATACTTAGGATAGTAGAGTAGATATTTGACAAGATTATGATTAATATTATTTTAATAAGACTGAATTTGATGTTAATATAATAAATTGTATATTATTCAAAACAGACAAGTTGTTATTTGATAGGGCCAAGTATTTGTTAAGTACATACACAGAGAGCAGAGAGAGTATATATTTATATATATATAAATAGGAAATGAGGAAGATGTAGAACTAGGATAGATTTAGGAATCATCATGTATGAAATTAACCTTTGGATTGGACTAAACAAATTCATTTCTTTGTTACAGATTTCTCAGAGGTTTTAATAACATTCATTGTGAATCTCTAAGAGTTTCTAATTTTTCCTATCTTATCTGGCCACAGATTTGGGGTCTGTCATCTTCAGACATACATGTTAGGAAATACTGAAATTTAAGTGTTCTGTTATTGAATATATTTCTATTAATTTGCTAAGGATATATTCATTTGACTGTTGCTTTGTTTTTTATTTGGTGTATATATTTTAAAAGGGTTGAAATTTTGGCTGTTGTTTAAAGAGTATTGTTTATTAAGTAACATTTAATTTGTTTTGACGTATTTCGTTATGTTAAATATAAGTTAGCTGTGATGGCTAAAGTAGCCTTTCCAGGGTTTGCATTTGTAACTGATATATTCATTTTTTCTTTTGGTATAGATATGCCCTTATATGTCAGCAGTGTTTTTCTCATAATGGCATGGCTTTGAAAGAAGAATTTGAATACATTGGTAAGAATTATTGAGCAGTTAGATTTAAATATTTTACTCTTAAATATTTCATTCTATGCCAACTTCTATGTAAATGTCACTTTGTTTTAGGTACTATCCCTGTATGTATTTTTCAGACATACTGTTCTTATTTTACAACACAGAGCAAGCAGGAAAAACAATACAGATGTTTTCCTTATACAGTGTACAACTTCTAGGTCAGTTTTCTTAAACTTCCCTGTGTATCTGAATCACCTGAAAAGCTTTTTAAAAATTATGCCCAGGATCCACCTATGAAGAGTCTGTTTTAATTGATCTGGGGTGGGGAGGCAGGTTTTTTTTTTTTTTTGTTGTTGTTTTTGTTTTTTTTTTAGAGCACCTCAGGTGATTCTCATGTGCAGCTACTATTTAAAAAATATTGTACTAAATTAATTATGCTTCGCAGATATGACATACTACATTTTCTTGGGCAAGTGAGCAAGGTTCTGGACTTTAAAACACTTAAGGATTCTAGTGACTAGAAGTGTAATTTCTATAAAACATTTTAGTGACTAGAAATGTAATTTCTATAAAACATTTTAGATTATTATAGATTGTTTTGCTATTAGATAACCTGCCATGTAAGTTATGATCTTTTCTGTTTTAAAATTAATATTTCAATTCTAATAATAATTAGAAAGTGTGCTTGAAAATTAGCTTTTGTTAGAGCACCTGCCATATTATTAAAACCAGAAGTACTCTCACAAGGGATAAATAATTTCTGAAGGGTTCTTTAACTACTTTGCAAAAGTAGTCAATTACTATCTGATTAGTCCATGAAAGTTTTTTTTTGGTCTGTGGTTTTATTTTATTATTATTTTTTTATTTCTCTTCAGCTTTTCGATGTGCCTACTGTTTTTTCTTGAATCCTGCAAGAAAAACTAGACCTCAGGCTCCAAGGCTTCCAGAGTTTAGTTTTGAGAAGAGACAGGCAGTGGAAAGCTCAAGTTCACTTGGTCCCTTGCCCTCAGGAAGTGTGATTTCATCAGAGAACCAGATCACTGAAGGTATGAATATGTTAATTAAAAAAATTTATCTCTTAATAATGTTTGCTATTTAACAATAAAAGCATAATGCTTTTAGATAAGAATGGATTAATTTATGAGATTTTGCAGCATGCATGTATCAGCTATTGCTCTGATACTCTAGCCTCCTGTGTGATGATGGGTCTGGTGTGTTTCAGTTTTAAAATACAGGTTATACTGTGTTAAGCAGCATCTACCAACAGCTAGGTAAGCATTTGTTTATGGGTTGACATCTACGTGTAACTGTGGGAGATTTGACTCGTAATGTTTTCGTGGAATCATTTTTGCAATTTATTTAAGTGAAGCAGATTATAAGAATTATTCAACTACTTTAAAAGGGTTAAGTTCTGATAAGATTTGTTACTAACATTGATAAAATAGCTTTATGCCTACCACTGGAATTGGTAAGGTTACCAAGCAGGAAACTTTGGAATTGGAAAGTCATCCTTGCATTCTTTGGGTACTATGTTGATAGGACTGATACTCCCTGGCAACAATTTTTTGGGGTCTTCAAGATTAATATTGCTAATGGATACCTTTGACGTAAGACCGCCTTATTTTAGGGAAACAAAATTTATCAGAATTTATTGGTTTTTAGAACTCATCTTGTAATTGTTTTAGGACTTCTTGAGGAAGTTTCATGAAAAAATGGAAAAGATGAGATGCAAGATCTGACTATTGCCAACTATTTCTTGTTAATATTAGGTGGGGAGCTGTTTGTTAAGCAGCTCTGAATCATGAAGATGCTAAAAGTATGGCACAGGCCATGATATTTTGGTGCTATGTCTGATATAGAAAAAAAAATCCATATTAGAAGTTTAGTTCACATAGTTTATTTAGCAGTCAGTATTCATTCTTTTAATTTCTAGGAATTCTCATTTACATATATTTGATTTCTTCTTTATATAACCACTGAGTAGTGAAAAAACGGCTTTAACTAATAATAACATGAGACAGTGAATTTTCAGATGTGAGAAGTTTAGTATGAAAATTTGAGTACCTTTTTTTGTTTTTTTAAACTTAGAATGAATGTAAAATATATGTAGTGATTTGGGCTTGGCTTTTGGCTTACTAACATGTATTAAAATGAATTTGAACACAGATAGTCATGACAAGAAGCCTGTATACTATCAACATGGAATCAGTACCTTCACCTACTCCACTCCACGTCTGCAGCATCAACTCCAAACATAATCAGTTTTTTCTTTTGCTTAATTCATGCTCTGAGCTGCATGCTGTCACATGCAAATCAGCTGCCTTGCTATTGTAGCCTCTTGGAACTGAAAACTAAAGAATTTCATACTGAAGATGCCTAAGAAAAATTGAAGTCCTTTCCATGAGTAACCTTGCTTATGAAAGCTAAAGTGAATATTTGAAAGCTAATAGTTGGGATAAAAAAAGGAAACAAAACAGCCAGCAAAATAAAAATCTTGATAATGAGTTCCATGCTTTAATATCTTCTGCTAAGGTTGAGATGGATAGTTAGCAAACAACACCCAGCTATACCTTTCCTTCTCATCAAATCTAGGAGGAGCAATACCTCAGATGTCTCATTTTCTATCTGAAATCTCCAGAACGAAGTCTAACTGGCTCAAACTCAACCCTAATAAGGTAATGTTAATAGGTGAAGACAAAACCTGAGGCAAGGTCTAACAACTCTGTAGGGCTAGAAACTGAAGCAACAATTCCATTTGGTTAAGATAGTCTTGGGTTTAGTAACTTTTTCATACTTCTCCTTGGATTCACCAAAATGGCTATAAGAACCTTATTTCTTTGGCTTTCCAGAAGATTGAAACTTTTCTCCAAGACTACTATCTCACCACTACGATATACAGTTACCATTTCCAATTGACGAGGAAGTGTTCAGGTGAAAGATGAAGCTGCATTTGTTTTGAACCCTGGTGGCATACCTTTAATGATTATATTGAACTATTCAGTAACACCATATCATCACAATCATCTCTGCTGACAGCCATTGTATGTGAGGGCTTAGATTTCTGATTTCTATGTTCTTAATGTAAAAACTTGAGGTCTTAAAAACAAATCTTTCCTGCTTTAATTTTCATATTATTTAAAATAGTGAAATAGCTCCTTGATAGTAGCAGAAATTGCAGAGATTAGGTATTTAATTCACAGAGGGAACCAAAAGGTAATTTTCTTCCATCTGAATTTTCCTTTCAACAAATATTCTGTAACTATTTATATGAATAATCTTGAGTCATTAGAAGCAACTTTTTTTTTTTTTTTCAATCTATGATGCAAGACTTCGAAATTGAGTTTTGTCTTGGTTCTGCTACTGGAAGATTTTGCTTTTAGGATGAGACACAAGGCTTTTGAAAACTTTTTGGATCAATCTTTAGAACAACGTATGAAACCTTGGAAAGTTTTCATCAAAGAAGGAGACCTAGAAGGAATTTCTCTCATTAACTACTCATTTGGATTCCTAGACTTTTCTTCTAGAACTGTGTATCCAGGTGCTTTGGCAATGCTGTATTAAAGAAACATAAGAAATTAGGACTATGGATTATCTTTTTATCTAAGAGCATATTAGCCATGGTATGCCAAAGTAATCAACTACTTTTAGGTTGCTCAGTTTCTTTTATGGCTAAATGAGTAGTGAATCTCTTCTAAGCCACATTAAAGTGGTTTATCAGTTTTGCTTTTTTAAAATGTGCTTTTCAAAATACTTGATATGTAGCTTTTTTGTTGTTGTTGTTAACTATGATCAATATATAGAATAGGCGGTTTGTAGATTGTTAGTGTACCAGCAGAGTGATTTTAGGCTAGGATGTTTGAAAAATGTTGATATTGTTTTATTTATGTATGTATGTATTTATTTATGTTAATATTGTTTTAATTTGTCTAGATCTTATGTAATTATTTTAATAAAAGATAGTTTTTATTCAACTGGCAATAACTTGCTAATAATAAAACATGGCTTTTAACCAATACCAAAAAAGCATAAGTAACATTTAAATAAGGTGAAATTTATTGGTAATCTGATTTCTTTTTTTTCTTTCTTTTAAGCAATATACTGTTACTGTAAGGTCATGTTGAACTAGAGAAAATTCTGTTTTTACTGTTGTTATGCTCTAGGAAGTTGAACTATATGATAATGTAAATTTTGTTGAATCATGTATTTACCACATCCAAAAAGCTTGTACCTTTATTGATATTTAATTCCATACAGCTTCCTCAGGATGTAAACTTACCGATAGTATCTTTTTGCATGTTTGTTGTAGACCTAGAGATCTTTTGGCCTTTTGATTCTCTTTTCTAAAACAATTTCTCCTAATGTTTTACATTTTGCCTAATAATGACATTTCTTACTCATCTGATGGATTTGTTCAATGGTAGATAACAGTATTATTATTACACAGTATTCTGTGTGTTCAGTATGAGTGATTTTTCTCATAGGTAGTTTTTATTTAATTGAATTTTAGTCATTGAGTCACTGGGTTAAGTTTTGAGATGAAATTCCTGTCTTTGTTCCTTAATATAAGTTGGCCATTTTCCTTAAGGCAAAAAGTCTTGTAAAAACTGCTTTAAGATCTGTGAGTTCAAAGACAAACTGTCCATTTTAATAAAATAAATTCTCCTTTGGGTAAGTTTTTAAGTCTACACATACAGTAGCTACTGATGTGTTAACAAGGCAAAAGTTTGGTGCATTAGCAGGACAAATTTTTGTAATTGTTATTGTAAAAAGAAATAAAAAACAAGAATCTAAATGAATCCAAAATATGAAGGATTTTCAAAGGTATAAACTAGATAGAATTATGTTTTGTTTTGTTCTTTTCCTGTGGAAATTATAGATTTCTAGAGGAAATATATGAATTTGTTTTGCTAGACTATTATTTAATTTTCTTAGAAAATTATTCTTTCAAGAGCTAGAATAAAACCCAAAAGGTAATGTGACGTTTTAACATGTTTTTGCGTGTGTATGGTTTATAGATAAGACAGTGGTATTTGTTACACAGTTATACTCAGTTCTATGAGTTTGAGTTGTCTGGATGAGTTAAGGCTTTGCCCAAACAACTGGAAACCAATTATTACAATTGCGTAGAAAAAGCTTCTTCTCTCAAGAACATTAGGGAGAGGGGGCAGGGGGCAGGAGTGGGAAAGGAAAATTCTGTAGGTCATTTTTGTTTTATCACATTATGATATATTGTTTTCTTAGCATTGTGGATGCCAATGTTGATTTTGAAAATTATCTTACAGATGGTATTGATCATTCAGGTAACTTTATTTTAACTTTAGTCTTAAACTGGTGTTGCACAGGGGAGAAAAGGCCTGTTTAATGAGTGTGAACACAAGGGTTGGTTTCTTTTTTAGTATTTATGCCCAAATATTGACATCTTCTAAAATAATGTATTTTTATACTACCAAGCTATTTTTTTTATTTTTTTGTATATTTTTTAATTGGAGTTCAATTTGCCAACATATAGCATAACACCCAGTGCTCATCCTGCCAAGTGCCCCCCTCAATGCCTGTCACCCAGTCACCCCATAACCCCCGCCCACCTCCCTTTCCACTACCCCTTGTTCGTTTCCCAGAGTTAGGAGTCTCTCATGTCCTGTTACCCTCACTGATATTTCCCACTTATTTTCTCTCCTTTCCCCTTTATTCCCTTTCACTATTTTTTATATTCCTCAAATGAATGAGACCATATAATGTTTGTCCTTCTCTGATTGACACTTCACTCAGCATAATACCCTCCAGTTCCATCCACATCGAAGCAAATGGTGGTATTTGTTGTCTCTAATGGTTGAGTAATATTCCATTGTATACATAAACCACATCTTCTTTATCCATTCATCTGTAGATGGACACCGAGGCTCCTTCCACAGTTTGGCTATTGTGGACATTGCTGCTATAAACATTCCACCAAGCTATTCTAAACTACAACTTCACAGAAAAAATTAGCTATTTTATTAAAATAGGCAAATGATATTCTCCCATAGAAGTAAAGTAAATACTTCTGGAATATATTTAATAATCTTATTATAAAGTTTTGTGGTTTACTTCTTAAACATGTAATTCTTTTATTTTTGCATACCTAATCCACTTAAATCTTGTTTGGATGACTTTTCACAAAATGGCATTTGGCATCCAAAAATCAATTCTCTGTGTCGTTTAGACTGATGTCTGCATTATAGGCATTGTGACACATAGCAGTTTTTCTGTAGTATTACTGCTCTTAAAATTACTTTTCCACAAATTAACCTGGGGGAAGAAAAGTCGTCATCAATAGGCTTTTTGATTATTTTCAAGCCCTACCCATCATTTCACCAGTTTTTAAGGCTTCTTTATATTCTTTGAAATACAGTAAAGTATTGACAAGCTTTGTGTATAATGTCATTTTCTAATTGTGATAACCCATGGTGCTTCTTAGAGTTCATCTTTATGCATTTAAGAGTTAAAGTATCGTAGTACTTCTTTTTGTGTTATCTGCTTCAAGACCCCAGAGTTTAATATATTATATTTGACCAGTGATGTGTCTCTTTCTGAAAATAGTTACATCACAAAGCTTAAATGGATAAACTATGAACTTGAGTACTTCTCCCATTTAAGTTCAGTACTAAAGCGATTGGTCATACAGAATATGACAAATTATCTGAGCCTATATTCACTTAAATTTATTTATTGGTGAGTTGAGTCCTAAACCCTGAGCTCTTTGTCTTTTCATTTCATGTGGCTTTATTGATTTGTTCAGAAGGCTTTCTAAAATAAAAAAAATTATAAAGTTCTTGGCAAGTAGGTGTTGCTCAATGGCCAGAGAGTTGTGGAAAACCATGACTCTGGGAGGGTAGAATTACAAATGGTTGGCAACTCCTGAAACTTTCCACTGAATCACTTGTTTGCCCTTGTGGCAGAAATGATCTGTACATGTCCAGAGAGTTTCATTTGCACTTTCTGCTCTTCATTTGTGTACTGGATCGTTCAGATAACAAAACTCACCTACTGTTTTTCTAGCTTGGTTTTTATAGATTCTAAGTGGTACTACAATGCCATTTTCAGTTCCTTTTAAGATAAAAATAGCATTTTTGTGGCACTTGACACAAATGGGATTTGTGAACAATTCCTCACTATATTTTGTGATTGTATGAATTTTCATACATTAAGACCTCATTAAATTGGATGTCCCTAACTGGAATTTTAGACTTGCATTCTATGTATGAAAGAAGGAAAGAGGTTTTAATTGATTCTGTAAACTAGAGTCCAGGATATCTGTTTAAAGAAATAATTACTTTTAAATATTTTAAAGTCTTGGTACGAGTGTGTGAGATATAGATAATTTGTATTTATTATAACTGATTATGGTAAAACCATGAATTTGTAAGACCTCCATTTCCATTGTGCGTATAGCATATAATTTCTTTGCAAAACTATTAATTCATTTTATTTACTTAGCAAGACTCTGACATGTACTGTAAAGGAGCTAAACTTGAACTTTTTACTAATGTAGATTGGCTTTTCCTTCAGATTTTTTGAGTTAATAACACTTGTAGTATATCATAAGGGATCTTTTATGAGATTAGTAAAATTTGCTTATTTGTTGGGCCAATGTGGTTTAGCCATATTTCTCCTAACAAGAATATTTGTTACTATTTATTTATTTATTTATTTTTTTATTTTATTTATTTATTTTTATTTATTTATGATAGTCACACAGAGAAAGAGAGAGAGAGAGGCAGAGACATAGGCAGAGGGAGAAGCAGGCTCCATGCACCAGGAGCCCAACATGGGATTCAATCCCAGGTCTCCAGGATCACGCCCTGGGCCAAAGGCAGGCGCCAAACCACTGCGCCACCCAGGGATCCCTTGTTACTATTTATTACAAAAACAAAAGCTAGATTTTTATTTTTGACTTGAAAATTAGGAGGCCCAAAGCTTTCTGCTTCTGACAATCTCTCTCTCATTTCATTCTTTAAACTTTAAAAAATTAAAGAGACTTTACTGAACAAAATTATTATTATTATTAAGGGATTTTAATTTAATTAAACTCAAGAGAACTTAAAGGGAATAAATTTTTAGATAGGAACCAAGACCCTCACTTAGCTTCCTCTATGGAGACAGGGGCAAAAGACTCTTAACTTTCTCTTCCTTGTGTTCTAGGTATATAGGATATTCTGACCCAGTAGTTTAAATCCTGAGAACTTGTTTTGTAGAGGGATGGGGGGAGACTTGTCATGCCTTTGGAAAAGGTGGATCCAGACCATCTTAGTGTTTCAATAATAGAAAGGTAAATCAATGTGGAAAATAGCACTACACATATACACACACACATTTATTGTTTACAGAGTTGCCTGTGTGCAAGGGAGACAATTCCTTCAGGAAATGTAATCTGGGGGGTCAGTACATTGGCTTTATTTGCTGGGCTGTTGTCTTATGGCTTATTTGCTGGGCTGTGTACATCAATCTGTTGGGACTTCATCTGATATATTTGGCATTTAACTTTCAAATGCATCTTTAGGAAGGCTCTTAAATACTGTGAAAATTCCCTAATTTCAGGAAAACTTGGATAAAAGTATGTTTATGGGTTGGTTTTCCCCAAATTATTTTTTCCCCTTCATTCATACCAATTCTTGTATGTAATAGGGTATTACGTATATATTTTAAAAGATTTTAAGGATAATGTTGGCCAGTTCTCTTGTTTCTTTGTGTATGTGTGTACTTACCTTTTGTTTATCTATCTAGCAGTTTTAACGTTTGGATATACCTAAAGTCTTGACCCTTTATCTTTTCAGAATCTGTAGAAGAACAAGATGTTCTTGATAACAGTACAGAGCAGACAGACGAGAAAATATCAGACACAGAGCAGACAAACCAAGGGACTGAAAAAGTATCTGGCACAGAGGAACCAGAGGAGAAGCAAGAGGCTGAGAATGAGGACACCTCAATGAATGAAGCCAAATCAGTAGTCCCCAGAGCCGATCCTATTCCTAATCCTGAACTCAGTGGAGAGTCTCTGATGGCCATGTAGTAAATGCTTTCACGTGCCTTCAACTGGATATTTGTAGTCTTGATGATGTCAGTCATTGCTTTCTAGGTGGTGCTTTCTTTCTTTCTTTTTTTTTTCTTTCTCTCTCCCTCTAAGGATGTGTTTGATATCATTTGAATTCAAATTGCTTGACTATTTCAATATGTCAGAGTTGTAGCTCCTGGGTGTTAAATTAAAGGCGAGTGATATCAGTAAAGTAAGATCCTTTGGAAATTATAAAGACCCACACTATTTAGCCCGCTTTTAGATGTTTTCTTCCATTCTAAAAGTAAACAAAGTAGCATTCTCATTTTCTCTATGTGTGACCTGTAAATAATACCATTTTGACATAGGAAGAACTTTGGTTATGAATAAGTTCTAATGGTGTTCATTTTAAGGAATGAAACTCAATTAAGATTTTTAATAATTATTCGTTAAAAATGGGTAGAATTTTAATTCTTGAGATATTTGTGTGTGTGGGATGTCTATTTAGGCATTTCCATTGAGTGGTAGGAAAGTTCTAACTGTAACTATATAGGCATTGGTACAAATTCTCAGTAAGAATGCAACTGAACAGTCAAGTGCAGTGTTTCTTTTTTGATGTTTCTTATTTTGCAGCTGGGCCAAAGGCACTTGATGTATATAACTAGCTTATGTTTACATATTAACATATAGGAAATATCTCTGCACTTGACTGTACTTGAATTCTGAGCATTATTTATACTTGTAAAATAATGGTGATATATAAGTGAATTTTGTGCTCTTGTGTGTATTTTGTTAAGGAAAATAAAGATGATCTGGCAGCAGTTTCTTTTTGTTAAATATCTAGACTTCTTCAGACAGTGTCTTGGTGGATGACGTGGCTACCTGAAAAATCTTAGGAAGAGCGCACAAAACAATTAATCTATAGACTCCTGAGAGCAAATTATGATGCTTCTGTTCAGACTAATTGCTTTTCAAATTCAGAGAAATAGTACATTTAGAGGTTCTAATCAGAGATTAGAGTTTCCTGATCCAGGAAAACCTGAAACCATTTGTAATTTTTAATTTTGGGAGACAAATAAGTATTGTGAGAATAGACAGTTAGTTACTAGTAGTTCATTGGATTTAATAGATGTTTTAAGGATTGACTGGGAAAAATTTTCATCCAGAATGATAATTCTTGGACCTTAAATACAGCGTGGTTATCTTTTTCATCTTCCTTTTATCATTCTTCTCCATTATTAAAAAAAATTGAAATCAAAGGGAGACATATATAGGAATGGTGTATATGGCAAATATTTCTATGTTGTACATAGTTTGTTAAAAATTTGATAAAATAACATTTGTTATTTAAAAATTCATCTTTATGATCTAATATCTTATATCTGATAGGTATTTTAATGAATCTAATCTGTTAATAGTCTGAGGCATTATGGTATAGGGACCAGAGTTTTTGAGATCACAAAACTGGGTTTAAATTCTAGCTCTGCAGTCTTGGGCAAGTCACCCAATCTCTCTGAGACTGTTTTTTTAACTGTTAAATGGGAAATATAATACCTACTCTTTGGGGTATAGGGATGATTAAAAATTATTTACATAATTTTTATGCCTAGCTCACTGCCTGATAATTAATATTAAGTAAATAGCAACATTTTATATTATAGATATCCTTGTGAAATATGGAAGGGCTGTAATTCTTCCTCTTGCAAGTAAGGAAATTAAAAAATAATATGAACATATAATTCAGCTGCTCAGAATCAAGCCAGAGTTTTCTGCATCAACTTTTCTCTATCAAATGCATGTATATAAATAAATACATAGATTAAAGAAGTAGGAACCTGAAACTATGGAATATAATCTTTTATGGGGAGGGTGAATCTCAGGTTTTGTACATTATTGACCCATAAACATTTTAGTAGCATCATGCTGAAGTCTTCTTGTTTTTTGTTTTTGTTTTTGTTTATTTATGGTATGGGTGGAAGGGCAGAGGAAGAGAGAGGAAATCTCAAGCAGATTCCCTGTTGAGCATGGAGCCTGACACGGGACTCATTCTCACCCTCCTGAGATGACCTGAGTCAAAATCAGTAGTCAGGTGCTTAACCAACTGAGCCACTCAGGTGCCCCGAGTCGTCTTGTTTTGAATCATTCAAATTCTGATGTACGTTGCTTGAAAATGAAGAGTACTTCAGAGAAATATAATTGCATGATAGAATCAAATATTATGAGAAATATCTTTGAAAGAAATATGGAAGAAGATTAAAAGGGGATTAGTAAAATGAATGCAACAAGTGACGTGCTGTAATTGTATAGTACCCTTTAAAATAGAAAAGGTTATTCTGATACTGTAGTAAATAGTTAATGGTTTTAAGGAGTGGTGAAATCTTCTATTTCTGATTATTAAGACTAGTGTAAATGAGGAAAAACAAACTACTAAGTGCTATTGGCTAGAGTGACCTTTACTTTCCTACTTAGAAATGCTCAACAGATATTTTCTAAACTCTTCTCACTGACCTCAGCATGATCTATAAACATGGTCTGGCTTCGACCTCTTCATCCCTCCTCCACCATAATGCTGTAGCCTCCAGGCCTCTTCCAGTTCTGTGACTACGCTAAACCCATTCCTACATTAAGTCCCATCTGAAATATTCTCTTCTCAGAGAGATAGGCTCCTAAGTTCCCTATCTAAAGCTGGCCTCTATTACTCTCTCTGTCACGTCACTTTACTAATGGTCCTTACCGCAGTTTAAGTATTTTATTTGTTTACAAGCTAACTATCTTTACAACATACAGTCTGTGTGTGCAAGGCTCTTTTTGGTCTTTTTTTTTTAAGATTTTATTTATTTATTCATGAGAGACACAGAGAGAGGCAGAGACACAGGCAGAGGGAGAAGCAGGCTCCATGCAGAGAGCTTGACGTGGGTCTCGATCCCGGGTCTCCAGGATCACGCCCTGGGCTGAAGGCCGCACCAAACCGCTGAGCTACCTGGGCTGCCCTCTTTTTTGTCTTATTTACCCGTATCTGCGGATCTAGCACACTGCTTGACACATGTTTATTATGTAAATGAATAATATTGTTGCTAAATCCAGTGAAAACTCTCAGTTCTTAACTTATTTCACTGCTTTTCAGTATTGACATTGTTGAACACTCCTTTGGTTTGAAACACTTTTCTTTTGACTTTTGAGCTTTCACACTCTAGTGCCTTTCTTTCAGTGTCCTTTGCAGGCTTCTCTTCCCCTGCCCACCCATTAAATACTGGTGTTCCATAGCTTCTACCTCGTGCCAGCATTTCTTTACTCTGCAAATTCTCTCTCTGGAGGATCTCATCAACCCAGTGGATTTCATTAACATTCATTTCTCTGATTCTCCCATCTCCAGCCTTGATCTGTTTGCTTCACTTCAGACTGAATAATCACCTGCCTTCTAAATGTCTTTCACAATCAGAATATTAAAAAATGAACACTATTTTCTCCTTGAAACCTACAAAACTTAAAAATATTGTGTTTTTAAACTACTGTGTCCCCTCATTCTCTTCCCCCTTTTTCCTACATCTTCACTATCCATTTCTGTCTCCAAAACCATCTTCTTGTTTTTTCATTTCTCCATCCCATTAACATTAGTAATGATAATATACATTTGCCTTCTTACTCTGTGCCAGGTAACATGCTAACTGTTGTTATGTGTCTTATTTTATTCTTAGGTGTAACCTTGTGAGGATATTTATTTCTGGATAATAGATGAGAAAACTGAGCTATAGAGAGAGTAAGTTTGGTCATTGGAAAATCTGGGATTTGAATGCAGACAGTAACTTAAGTCTTGCTCTTAATTACTGTCATACTGCCTTCTCATCATTCAGGCCTCTATTGATGATAATCTCAGAACTGTCTCTTCATTGGTTTCTGCCTCCAATCTTGCCTACTTGGCTATTTATTTTGTGCACTATAGCCTGAACGAGTTTTCAGAATTGGAAAAGGAATCCTGGTACACCATTGTTTAAACCCTTCAATGATTCCTCATTGTTCTTGGGATGAGGTCCAAACTTACTACTGATAGGGCCTATATAATTTTGCTTCTAGTTACTTCTGGCATTTCTGACCACAACTATTGCCACCATTCCCACCTCACTTTTAATGTAGCTATCATAATGTTTTCTGTAGTTCATAATGCAAAAGTTTTTCTAATCCCCGGGTTCCTCTTTCTCTTCCTGGGATATCCTCCTACTCACAAAGACACAGGGACACACAGTAAATAGTTGTTGAATTGCACTGAAATAGTAGTACTTAGAACCCAAATTTGGAAATGTTGTTGGTAGTTGTTAACCTATGCCTTTTATTCTTAAATCTTTCTCAGCCTATTCATTAGATACAAACAATATTGTTGTGGAGAACACGATTGAGTCATGAGAGTTATAGCTTTGTATGTGGGTGAGAGAGAAAGGTAAAAGGGAGAGATATTCTAATTATATAATGATTTCCATTAAGTATTGTATGCTGAGTGTCAGAAAAGCTGAATGACTTACACAGGTCATAGGGATAGCTGGCATCTGAACCAAGCAAAAACTCAGATCTCAACTCTTAATGCAGGATGCTTTATACTGAACCACCAATTTTATACTGCCAATCAAAATTAATGTTAAGAGTAAGATTACTTTAAAAATGTGCAAGTTTTATTATTTTTTTCTAATATTACTTTGAAAAATTACAGTATTCTCTGTTGGATTATGTGCAAATCAGTCAAAGGGTCAAAGAATGGGAATAATTTATGGAATTATGAATAGCTATTTTGAAACAACCATAAAGAACAGAGCTGCTTTAGAAAATCAAAAGAAAATAATGTAAGTTATGTAGCATAGCCTTAATTCATTGTAAAAAAGTGTAGAAAAGATTTAGATATAGTTTAATGGACTCCCAAAGAGCTATTATAAATAATTCAAGTACTTATGTAAAGTTGAAGCAAGATAAAGATGATTGTAAACTGATGATCTGCTAAATCTTTGTAATTTGACTTATTTCAAAGTTATTGAAGATCTAAATATATTAACTCCACCCAGCTAATAAGTAAATGTATCAGGCTCTGAATTTAGACAATCAATTTATAAATAAAGCAAAGTACATTTATTAGAATTCAAACATAAGAATAAAAATTTAAAAATACAGAATAAAAACCTCATTAAATTCTATCAGTCCATAAACTATTAATTTGTCTCAACCTAATTTCTTTGCTTCTCAGAAACAAATCTATATTTTTTACTTCAATACTATTTAAAATTGTCTTTTTAAAAATTGTTGAATTTATTCAGTAGTAGTTATTCTCCCAAGTGCCCTTTGGTTTGCCTTTGTGTGAAACTTAGATTCCACTTACTTTTCCATTCTGTCTCCTCCAGAGGTCCTGTTATGTGGCTTAATTTATACTACTTGTGGACTTTAGAAGAAAACACTATCCACTTATATAGCTCTATATTATTTGATGTTTTTTACAACCTAGATTTTCTGCTTTATGCATTTTTCTCTAGGTTCCCCCCCCCCCCTAATATTTATACCTTCCTGTTTTTCTTTGGCAGCAAAAATGGTAGAAGTTGGAAGCACTCTGAGAAGATTAAAAAGTGTTCTCAAAAAATCTCCTTCATAAATTAGTTTTTTAAAGTTCTTATTCCAGGATTATATGAGAACAGGCCAGATTTTTAGTTGCCAAAGACTTTTACCAGATCCTTGGCATTTGTTTTAGGAAAATGGGGAAAATCATTTATTTTTGTGAAAATAAATATTTTTATCTTAGTCTGATATTGAAGGGTGAAGAAAGGGGGAATTAAATGAACATTTTTTGAATACCTGCTCCTGGTCAGGCACTGTGCTCTAGATAATTTCACATTTCTCTTACAACCATGTGAGGAAGTGGAATCCTATCAAGCATGAGTTAATTCCCCAAGACCACTTAGTTTATGGAGGTTGTAAATGGAATCAGAACCTAGGATCTTTAGGTCCTTGTCCTGTTTGCTGTCTGTGAGACTTCTCTTTTGATAGCTAAAAGAATAGACTAATGCTTTTTTGGATTTCTCCTATTTTTGTGATAATTCCAAGTGTTGCTTCAGGGCAGTTTTCTCAGCTGAACACTTGTCAGACTCTCTACACACCCTCCCCATGAAATGCTCTCATAATTTATCTCCAACATCAGACTATGAACTCCTTGAAGGCACAGCCATATCTATTTTTACTTCTCACTATATTTCTAATGTCTGGCATGTAGAAGGCACCCTGAATTAACTGTTGAATAGGTAGTTAATGTGCACACAGGTGCAGGCACATATGTGCACACACACTCAATGGAAAATACTGCTGTGCAGATTTTGTAGTGTGAGCAATTTTGTAAACCTCAAATTTGAGTTATTGAGTAGGGAAATTATTTGATCCTCACAACCTTGGGGAGCTCCGATTGACTCCTTTGTCATCTTTTCTTTTTTGGATCTATCATCCATATTGCTGTAGGAGCTTTCTGAAACACAAGCTGGAGGGGAGATGGTGGGGGATGAGGTCACTGGATGACTGGCATTAAGGATAGGGTGCTTGATGGAATGAGCACTGAGTATTGTATGCAACTGATGAACCACTGAACTCTACCTCTGAAACTAATAAGACTCTCTTATGTTAATTGAATAAAAATAAAAATAAAAGAAGTTTAAAAAATATTCTAAGGTTCATTTGTATGTGGCTGACTCCCTAGGTGGCTTTTAAGGATCCCCTTCTCTAGCTTTCTCTTAAACTACTCTCTCTCTTATGTGCTGACCACAGGCTTATGTGGTGCTATTCTTGTTGAAATCTCATTTCCTTAAGACCCAGCTTTATCTACAATCTTCTGAGTGACACCTTCCTCAGCTTTCTTTCCTAAGCAGTTACTTGCTTTTTATTCTCATTGTGCTTAATACATTATATATAATGTTGTCTCCTGACCTCTTGTTACTCTCTGCCTCCCTCGTTTGGTTGTGAACACTGAAGACAGACTGTGTTTCTCAGTTTTTATTTTCTCTCTCTCACTCTCCTTAAACACAAACCAAAAGTAAGACATGGGATGATGTCTGCTACATGTATGTTTAGAGAGTGGACTCATATAAATAAGTGATGGACCTGACGTGGTCAGCCCTGGTGGCTTGTGCGCCACTTCCATCTGAAACGCCTATAATTGAAGTAATTGTGGCCAGAAAGTGAGAAAGTCTAGCTCAGGATTTGAAGCTATGCAAACTGACAGCACACTAAGGGAGGAGGATTTGTTTGTTTTTGTATTCTTAGTGCCCAACATAGATGCTCAATAACTGGATGAACTGAACTGCACATGACCTAAGGGCCAGTGTGCTCGGGTGGGATTAGAGCACAGAGGGTCTTCTCTCATTCACGTGAATCCATTATTTGGCCAAGGTTTCTAAATTGTATATAAAATGATTTGTTTTAATAAACTCCCATTCTTAAAAAATATTCTTAGTTTCATTTGTATGTGAACCATACAGATACAGAATTTGTATCTCTATATTCCTCAACCTCTGATCTCATATTCTACTCACACATAGAATGGGGTATTTTAAAATATTTTTTTATTTTTTAAATTTCATTTCTGACCCATTTAATGTTATAATTCATGTTAAATTAGGAGTTTTCTGGGTTAAGTAGGTGCTTTTTGACACTATCTGGTGGAGTCTCGATACACACACACAATACATATTTCCTCTTTCAGTAAATGCACCATTGGAAATTAGACCTTAAAATTGCGTATTTGCCTCAAAAATATATCAAAAGGTACTGTATATTGCACATGGCAGGTATAATTAAAACTTGCACTAATATATGTTTTATGAATTATAGTCAGCTAAGTTATTTTTTTCTAAAAATGAAATAGGCATTTTGTGCTTTATTGTTGACAGCAAGAATGCTAAAGGCTTTGCCTACCTGTCAAGAGTTGATACATTTTATTGAATTATAGTGGTTTGCTTTCTAAAAAATATTTTTCCCTAGAAACCAAAAGGAATCAAATTTTGGAATGATCTTGTGTTCTTCATTATGAGTGTTCATACCAAATAATATATGAATTTTTAGAATAGGATGCAATGAATTTTATAAGCTGAGTACAGGCTGAAATAAAATTGATATGCTTGAAACGTTTTGGGTGGATGTTGTAGATTCTTTTCAGCACATTTTTTTTTCCTTTTGGTTTTTGAAGACCTGGATTCTTTTTGTGTGTTTGTATGATCTTTCTTTTTTTCCAATAGTCCATCTCCTGTAATTGGGCTTGATGAAATTAGATAGTATTTTATTTATTTAAAGATAATGCAATCATTACTGAAGAGTGGGCTATTTTATTCTCTCTTTCCTGCTGTCTTCTACCTCTCCCTACCCTTCCACACAACACCCCCAACCACCATAGGAGAGAGCAGCAGGTTTTAGTAGATTTGGTTACGAGCAATTTTATCCACCCAGCAAATAATTGTAAGCAGCAGTTTGAAGCAAGTGTGAATGTCCAGCACTCCTTTTACCGTAGGATGACCCAAAACTACTAAATTGTGTTTTGGGACAGTAGTGCTATGTATTTGGAGTTGGAAGAGGAGAAGTGGGGAGCATATGACTTGCCTTAATAAAGAAGCTGAATTCAGGGCCTGCTGTATTCCAGATAAGTAACAAGAGCATGGCAGTCGACACTTAGGTTTTTTAACAGTGCTTCCAATACACATGTAAACAATTCAATTTGTGCATTATAGGCTTTATTGTCTCTAAAGAGTGATTTATATCCTTATTTCTGCATTATCGTCCACAAGGTACTGCCCTCTGTCAGAGGGCCTGTGCTATCTAATTTTTTAGACCTTTGTCTTCATTAGTACAGCAATTTTAGCTTGTGATCATTGTACTAGACCTCATTGATAAGCTAAGACAGTATGAGATTCATAGGGCTGACATCTAACCTTGCCACCAGCTTCTTTGACCCCTCTGCTTCCGAAACATGGGTTCATTTTTTAAAAAAGCCCAAGGTAGAACTCCATCTATTTTTTCACACGCATTGTGGGCAGTTTAAAGGTTGGTCAGAATCAAATACTGTGCTTTCAAATTTGATAATGTATGAGTACAGAAGGATGACCTTTGATACATAGTCATACATCAACATGACAAGAGCAGTAAATGCTGCAATTACCTTTACTACGTTGAAATGGCACTTTAGTTTTCATCCTCAGAGCAATTATTGCAAAAGCAAAAAAATGCATTTGAGTTCTTTTTATGAATTTTGTAAAATTAAGTATCTTTAGAAAGAGTCCTAATTTATACACCTATTTGCCAGCGTGAATTTGATTTTTATACTATGCGGTTGTTCGCTACCAGAAGATTCTAATTGCTGACCTGATCATTTTAGGCAGATTGTGGTAAAGCGGTTTTGTGTTTTGTGAGTAGGTTATTTTTCAGAAGGATTAAATGCTGTTTCTTTACAAAAGAATTTTACCACGTGTATTTTCAAATATATTCAAGTCTGCTCCTAGTCGTCACTTAAAGGAATATTTAGCGATGTCAGGGACCTCTGTGTCGTGGCAACACACAGCCTGCATATTATGGCCCCTGCCATCCTTCATGGGATTGTTGCCCTGGGTGTTGATCCACACATTCATTTCTCCTTTAATGAGTGCCTTCTGTGTGCCAGGCACAGGAGATGGAAAAAGAATGAACCCCCTATTCTCAGGGGGTTCCAGGCTAGCGGCTAACAGTTTAATTCTCTCCTGAGAAGTTCTAAGATGGGAAAGCAGTAAGTTGACTCAGTAAGTGTTAAGTGAAATGTATGCTGGACTTGGAAAGGCGGAGACCAGGTTTACATTTGGACTTCTGCCTCTTTCCAGCAGAATGACCTTGGGGGAAGTTACATAACCTCTCTGAACCTTAGTTTCCTGGGCTATACAAAAATAATATGTTGTGCACAGAGCTGCTGCGAAAAGTAGAGAAGAGGGAAGTCTAGGCCAAGTGTGGCCCAGGACAGAAACTACTTCCTTTTCTACTTCCCATCCTCCTTTTCTCTCCCCTTACACTTCTCAATTAGCCAGTTTACTATTTCTCTATGAATATTTTTTTTTCCTGGTATAGAGGTGGGTAATTGGGTCCAAGGGCCTCCAGAAATTTCCTACACAATTTTGTATGTGTGAATGCACATTTTTCCAGGGAGAGAATACATAGCCCTTATCTCATTTTCAAAGTTGGACTGTAAGTCAATAGAGCAGGAGTGCTACAGCTCTCTTCCAGGAGAACAGCTCACTAATCAAAGAGATTACTTAACATTACTGTAATATTTGGATTAATGATGTAAAAAAATCAATTGAATCTCAAGTACCTTTTCTCTGGGCCTTAAAGAATCCCTCAAATTATCTCTGTGGACAGAAGCCATATGCCAGGTACAAAGCAGCAATGCCATGCTAGTGGCAAAATTAATGTAAAAATGGAACTCCAGTTTAGTGTGTGGGTCTTGCATGCTTTTAGACTGCTGGTAGCTTTATCAATGATCATGTGTAGACATGAGAACTGCTTAAAACTTATCAGTGAAGTTGAATTTTTAAAATAAGGTGGGAGTACTGTAAGGGATCACACGGTGTCTTACTGGATTTTGATATTATAAATATTTAGTTCCACTCCTCCAATTGCTCTTTAATTATTCCTGCCCCCCAAACCTCCTGCTTATGCAATGATGTCATAAAGTTAAGGATTTTTTTCCACCAACACCTGCTTATTCTTTTCTTTTGTTTTTAAAAACATATTTTTTAAAGATTTATTTATTTTAGAGAGAGAGAGAATGTGGGGGTGGAAGGTGGAGAGGCAGAGGGGGAGGGTCCTAAGCAGGCTCCATGCTGAGCACAGAGCCCGAGGCTGGCTGGATCCCACAACCTGAGATCATGACCTGAGCCAAAACCAAGAGTTGGCTGCTTAACTGACCACACCAACCAGGCGCCCCTCTTGGTTTGTAATATAAGAAATCGAAAACACAGTGGTAAATTTAAAAAGCTGTTCACTACATTAATGCATTGTAATGCATTAACTGTTTTTTCTTCCTTAGGTTTCCTTTTAGTCTTTAGTCCTTTTAGCCTATATGCTTTATAAATTGGTATGTGCACAGTTGTATTCTCAAACCCAGCTGAGTGAGGTGCTCCATGTAGTGTCCCACTTGCCACTTGTAACTTCCTTCACATGGGCTGTTGTCAGGCTGTGAGTCAATTACTGTCCATTCTGAAGCACCTGAAGGCACAGCGCTGCTGTCAGGTGAGGAGTTTCCCCCTTGTACTCAGGCAAACATGGACTGGGGGCTCGGGGGTCTGGTCCTACTCCTTCCCCTAATGTCTCCTCTCCCATGTCTCCTTCAGGATAGAGTTCAAGTTTGTGCATTTGCTTTGGAGGTCTAAACATACTGCATTGTAAAATGAAGTTCATCACAATTATTTTTGATAGTGACAAAAAATAGGTGAGCAAAATGTTCAGGTTGGGAGACTGTTTAATGCACTTAAATATTTTTGAACTGTTTTTAATAATGTGAGAAAATGTTCATGATTCAATATTGAGAGAAAAGTGGTTATAAGTTTGCACAGTATTGTATTATAGCCTGATATTGTATGCAAAATAATATATATGTAAAGGGAGTGGAAAGAAATAAAACAAATTTTAATTAATTATATTTGGGCTGTAGTATATGGCTTACTTTTTTCCTTCACCTTCTTTTCCTGTATTTTCCAAATTGAATATAAAGAATGTGTATTACTTTCAGCATTTCTGATTTTTTAAGTAAAATTAAAAAAAATCTGGAATAATGATCTATAGCAACGCATTGTGTTACAGAAAGATGTTTAAATTTAAGTTGATAATTCAGTTATTCCCAAATTCAGAACATTTTCACATGTGCAAAGTCATGGGAAAACGTTGATTTTATTTATTTTATTTGTTGATTTATTTAAAAGATTTTATTTGTGTGAGAGAGAGAGGGAGAGAGGGAGCACCAGCAGGGGGAGAGGATGGACAGAGGGCAAAGCAGACTCTCCACTGAGTGGGGAGCCTGACATGGGGCTCGATCCCAGGACCCTGAGATGATGACCCAAGCTAAAGGCAGATGCTTAATTGACTGAGCCACCCAGGCACTCTGAAAGAATTGACTTTAGTTTGACTTCAAAAAGAAAAAAATGAGTTTTTTGAGCAGTAAAAATATAAAGACCTTGGTTACCTTGGAATAAAGGAGAGAAATGAATGCTTTATGAATGATATGGACTTAAAAATGAGGAAGGAATCTGAGACACTTAAATAATTTTCTTTTTCTTGTAACAGCTTAAAGCACACTCAGATTTTGAGTGGTATGAAAGCCTCTCCCACATTTACATATTTCCTCCACCTACCTTTATGTGCACATATATATAGACATACACAGCTCATTAATTCCCTTAATTAAGAGGAATGAACCAAAGGTTTTGTCTTATAATAAGTAGTTGGTCTGTTATAAGCAACATGGCACCATAATTTTTGATCTTCCCTTAAAATATTTCTTTGGAAATCTCACAACTATTGAGACTGCTTTATGGATATTCATATAATTTCCTAAATCTGGGTTCTCATAAACATTTAGAAATAATCACAATGTGGTATATAGTAATGCAGCCTAATACAGTTTGGTCTAGTTGCCTTGTGATAGCAATTATAGCCGAATCTGATTATAGCATCCCAAATTGAGAGTGTGTGGTAATTTGTGATAGGGATAAGAATGAATTTCCTGAGTTAGAAGACAAAATAGGTAAATTTATAGTATATGTAAGATTTTGTATTTTAAATATCTGATTATGTATAGCAGCGTATCTGGAGGACACTCTGATGTGCTGGTTCCCTACTTGGAAAATCGTTATTGACGGAATGCTTAATATGTGCCCAGGCTGCTATGAGACATCTTATATACACAGTGTTATTTGATCCTTAGAAGGATTCTTTGAAATAAATAATTTTCATCTCCATCCTATAGATAAGCAAACCGAAGTTCAAAGCAATTGAGCAATTCACCTAAGGTCAAACAGTTAGCAAGTCTTGAAGGCAGGGTGTGAAGCTAGGTTTATCCATACATGTTCCACTGATCACACCCCCTCCCATCTTATCCATTTGTTAAAAATGGCTTT